TGAACTGAACCCCAGTTCTGGGCTCATTGGGGGTGAGCCTAGACTGTTTGGTAGTGGGAAAAACTTGGGGGCACTTCACTCTCAGAGGTGCTTACAGCGAATACCAAAGAACCCTGAGGAAAACTGAGACTTGGGAGCCGCATAGGGCATGGCTGACGGAAACCAAGGCTATAGGCTCCACCCTGAAACTCCGCCCCATACAAGCAGAACCCAGAGACTTTTAAGACTTCCAACTCAGGGAAGCTGTGAAAATGCCGAGACAAGGAAATAGATCACAAAAGAGAGTACCGATTGGAGGAGAAACCAAGATGCGGAGTGGGTGAGCAGCTGGTGTGCCGCTCCCACAACAATTTGAAGATTGAAACTAGTATGAGGGACATCTATCATCCAGGACCATGGGAGGGAGGTACTGGGTGGTTGATAATAAGCAATTAATGTGATGGTGGGAGCAGTGAGGGACTGATGGGGCTCTTGGAATGTGACCAGCCGGAGAAATGGAAGAATGGCGGGCCCGGAGGGGCCAGGCCTGGAGCAGCAGAAGCCAGGCCTGGAGCATCCAGTTCCAGAGCAGCCAGGCCCAGAGTAGCAGTAGCCAGACCCAGAGCAGCCAGGCCCAGAGCAGCCAGGCCCAGACCAGTAGCAGCCAAGCCCAAAGTAGCCAGGCCCAGAGCAGCCGGGCCCGTAGCAGCAGCAGCCAGTCCCAGAGCAGCCAGGCCTGGAGTAGCCAGGCCCAGAGCAGCCAGGCCCAGAGCAGCAGCAGCCAGGCCCAGAGAAGCCTGGCCCGGAGCAGCAGCAGCCAGGCCCAGAGTAGCCAGGCTTGGACCAGCAGCATCCAGGCCTGAAGCAGCCAGGCCCCGAGCAACAGCATCCAGGCCTGGAGCATCCAGGCCCGGAGCAGCAGCAGCCAGGCCCGGAGCAGCCAGGCCCGGAGCAGCAGCAGCCAGGCCTGAAGCAGCCAGGCCCAGAGCAGCAGCATCCAGGCCTGAAGCAGCCAGGCCCGGAGCAGCAGCAGCCAGGCCCAGAGCGGCCAGGCCCAGAGCAGCAGCAGCCAGACCCGGAGCATCCAGGCCCAGAATAGTCAGGCCCAGAGCAGCCAGGCTTGGAGCAGCAGCAGCCAGACCTGGAGCAGCCAGGCCCGGAGCAGCAGCAGCCAGGCCCGGAGCAGCAGCAGCCAGGCTCAGAGCAGCAGCATCCAGGCCCGTCGCAGCCAGGCCTGGAGCAGTAGTCAGGCCCAGAGCCGCCAGGCCCAGAGTGTTGTGGGGTTGAACCTTGGGTTCAAAATGAAAGGAAAGAAGGAGCAATGCAGCCAATTTGGGTACCAGAGTGTTAGGTTCGTCATCACAATGGACTCAGAGAAGCTCCTGTGTCCCTTCACCCAGAAGGACTGAGAGTTGCCCAGACGACAGCAAAGTGGGAGAAGAAAAGGCTACGCAAGGGACTGAGGTGCCAACATGGACATTCGAAGAAATTAAAGACTGAAATGGAAGCTACTTCATTAATCATGTTCCTGCTCTTGCTAGCATCTGTTAGCTTCCATTCTTCTGCAAAGTCTTGTGCAGCAAATCCAAGGACTCTGAGTAAATCTACACCAGCAACAAAAGAGACTCATTTAGTAGCTAAAAATAATAATATGTCCATAATTCTGATTTCTCATTTTGTTGTTTTGCCTTGGCATTGTTGTTATTATAATAGCCAGAGTTTTGCTCTTGACATTCAAGTTTTGAAAATAACATGTATGTGGTTTAGTTTTTGCATTGGCATTGTTTGCAATTGTTTTTAATTTTAGAACCCTATTATTGATGTTCAAATTTTATTTTAATTAGTAAAAAATTGTGAGATGTAGAGAGCCACCTGAGAAGGCACATGGACATTCTTTTAATTCTTATCAGCTGAGTCCGAGGGCACTGGCAGAATCCTCTTATCAGTACTGATTTCTTAATCCATGTGCTTGGAATGAGGAACAAATAGGACCTGGACTCACCCAGGTCTCGATATGCTAAATCTTGTACCAAAAAATAAGGAGCTTACCCAGATTTTGATGAATAGGATCTGGGCACACCCGAAACTCCTTTTGACCTTAAACTCCCCTTTGGAAGCCAATAAAAAACAAACAAACAAGGGAATTAAAAAACCTGATGAACAATATTAACTGTTGAATATAATAGAATCAGAGGTATGGAAGGGGAGTGGACTGATGATTCTCAGGGAAAGGAGTAGGGGGTGCGGGAAGAGAATGAACATAAACTGTGCATCTATGGATGAGGACAAGCGGGGGTGGGGAAAGGGCAGAGGGTGGCATAGGAACCTGGTGGAGGGGGAAAAATGAGGAACTTTTGTAATAATATGAACAATAAAGGTTATTTTTAAAAAAAGGGTTTAGATTTTTATAAGTTTCATAGGAAGCCAATGGACTTTTTATTTTTTTATTTTATTTTGTTTGTCATTGGACTTTTGAAAATAAATCTGTTATATAGTCTGATTTATGTTTTTCTTTTAAAGGAAAAACCACATTAAAAGTTGTGTAGAGAATTAATTAAGGAGTCAAGAATGATAGTAAGGAAACTAGGCAAGAAATGATGGTGACTTGGGCAAGAATAATAGAATGAAGTTGTGAGATGTCATAGATAGAACCAGCAGCACTTGATAATGGACTGAATGTAAGGAAAGGGAGGACAGAAAGAAAGAAATCAAGGTTGACTCCTAGGTATCTGTATGTGTGTGTATTATAATTTGCTCAGTCTCCTACATTTGGACAATATATAATTTTCAGTATTTTACAATAATAAATAATGCTGCAATAACATTAGATTCATTCTCCACATCATACATAAGGATAACTCCAACATTGATTGGCTCAAAGATTTAACCATAAGACAATAAAACTATGCTGGCACTAGAAGAAAGATGAGTAAATTCCTCTTTAATCTGTGTATAGAGAAGGGCTTTCTAACTATTACTGTCCTATCAAGTCTTAGGTCAAAGTTTTCTTTAAAGAGACTTTCTCTGATCCCACAAATTAATGTCTTATTCCCCATCATTCCCATAGTCACATTATACATTTCCCCATTTTAACTACTTCATCGTATTTATCAGAAAAAAATTCCTTCCTTCATTCCTTTTTCCCTCCACTTCACTCCTTTCTCTTTCCTTTCTCCCTCCTTTTTATGTTTCTTATCCTCCAGACTGTAGACTTCATTAGAGAAGGACTTTTATCCTTTATCCCTTTTATTCTATATCCCCAGTGCTACAGCGTGGCACATCACATAAACATTCTGTGAACATGAATATGAGTATCCTCATTATCAGTCTTTCTATGATATTTATATTTACTAAAATGATCATGTTTCTTTCCATGATAAATCAGTAATTAAACATTATGTTAAAAAGTGCTCAAATATAGGATATTTGAGGAGGAATGTTGCTCTTTTCTTCAACTTTGTTTTTAGGCAGATTGGTGTAATAAGCAGAGTGGTGGGTGGGTAAAGTAGTAGAAAGCAATAGGAGGAGCAACAAAGAGGTGGAGTAATGTACTGAATAAAGTAAAAATAACGGGATGTAGTTTAGCAAAGATTATATTAGCATAAATTACTTGCCAATACTCTTGATTTATCTAAGCTAATGGGAGGGAATAGGAGTATTAATCAGTCAAAGCAAGAGGGTAATTTTGAAAAATTATATTTGATTTTGGAATTCAGCCAGAGGTACACAAAACACAAATGTTCATCACCCTTCCTAAGACCAAGTTCATTTTCAGCAGCCCAGGTAGGACCATAAATGAAGGGTAAAATAAAGCTACCGTGGTATTGCTCTGCTCTCAATCTCCACGGCTAGCTTTACACACTCTACTCAGTATTTTAAATTAAAATAGCTTCTGATAAAAGAAAATTATAGCCTGGAATTTTTCTCCAGAATAAATTGTCATTTAGTCTGAAACCTCTATTCCCATAGTTTTGCCTTCCTATCTGTTTACCACCTCCAACTCTCCATAAGCCTTTTCCATCCTTCTAGACTCACTCCACGTTCCAACTTCTGTGAATATTCTCCCAAAAGTTTGAGTCCAGATGGATTTTACTGAAACTTCTGTGACACTCATGCTGTATTGCTTAGTAATTATTTCATGAACAAGTGACTTGCCTCCATATCCTATATAATAAAAAGGCAATATGCAAATTGACCTTAATGGCCCAACAACCGGTCGCTATGACATACACTGACCACCAGGGGCAGACACTCGATGCAGGAGCTGCCTCCTGGTGGTCAGTGTGCTTCCACAGGTGGAGCACTGTTCAGCCAGAAGCCAGCTCATGGCTGGCCAGTGCAGCGGCTGTAGTGGGAGCCTCCCCTGCTTCCCTGGCAGCACTAAGCTTGAAGTCGGACATCCTCCTGAGGGCTCTTGGGCTGCCAGATGATGTCTGACTGCCTGTTTAGGCCTGATTCCCCTGGGGAGCAGGCCTAAGCCGTCAGTTAGACATCCCCTGAGGACTCCTGAACTGTGAGAGGGATGTCTGACAGGTGGACATCCCCTGAGGGGTCTCGGACTGTGAGAGGACACAGGCCGGGCTGAGGGACTCCCCTGAGTCACGAATTTTCATGCACCAAACCTCTAGTTTGAACTATAAGCTCCTATGGTTATGAAATATTTATAGCATTTACTTTGTGGAATCTAAAGCATTTGCAGACCAGTTATGGGCCAATGGAAAGTGTTTAAACTGAATAAAAATAGATTATTTGGGCCCTCAGCACATATACTTGCTCAAAGTGGAGAATCTACTTGAGTCCTCTAGGGTGAATCTAGTTTTGGTCTTTTTTCATATAAAGCATTAATGACATTTTGCATTTTATTTTTGCTATTAATTTTTAAAAGTGCTGGGAAAATCATTTTTGGTTTGCATGTGAAATAATGTACTGCTTTTCAGAGTGAAAAACATGTGAATCATTTTATGTATAATTTAGGATACTCGAGGATATTCTATTTCTGGATAAAATAGTTCAAAGTAGAATTTTAGTATGCATGTTTGATACATATTTAATAACAAGAATAAAATATCTTCTTGAAAGATTGCCTTTGTAGTGAATTCAGTCATTCAAATTGTTTTCTCTCAAGACCCAAAAATGCTAGGGCATTGCCAGCTTTGAGTTTGTCCTGGAAAAAAAAAGAAAAAAAAAGATTTTATTTTAAAGCATTATTTAATGGTTGTTCTTAAGTCCTTTATTGAATGTCTTTATCAGGTTAAAAAAAAAATCAATTCCCCAACGTGAGAGAAAAATATTAGCAGGTTAAACAATGAATCTCTTACCCAAATCCTCTTGCCCCATGTTTTGAAACTTGGTTGTAGAAGAAAGGAAGAAATTATAAGGGAGAGAGAGAACTGTCTTAGGAAAATGTTCTTTGGGAACTTCAATGGATTTTAAGGACTATTTGGAGGCAAAACAGAGAAAAGGTTCAATTTAGGACTGTGGAACAGCAGAGCTAGAAGCCACCCACTAGCTTTCAGGCATGTGTTGTCCTTTTGCTCGGTCCCAAATAAAAGGGAACTCTTTCGGAACAAGAAAAGTGATATAGTTGAAGCCTCTCAGAATATTGTACAAATGTGTACATTTATCAATTTCACATGAGAAAAAGACTGCCAAATTTTTTCCACCTTCTCCCCATTTATAAACTAAATAAACTTCACAGAAAGAACTACTGCAATTTGAGAGGTAACTTTGTGATATGCTAACTGAAAGTTGTTCAGTTTACATAGGTCAGGCATGTAGCTGAGGGTGGAAGGAAACATGTATGGAGTTGTATAACTTTCATACCATATATACATTTAGATATCATGATCAATTTTTGAGCTTTAGAGAGCTCAAACTTATAAAATGAATGCTATCTTCCCAGATATAGTTATCCTTTTTTTTCCTGTACTGTAACATTTTATTTATATACTTTGTAACAGCTTTATTGAGATATAGTAAACTTGCCATATAATTTACCCATTGAAGTGTATAATTTAATGATTTTTAGTGTGTTCACAGAGTTGTGAAGCCATCAGTTTCTTGTCTGTTATTCTAGAGATATTTTATACACATACAAGCAAATATTTATATTTAGGTATATAGAAATTGTTTTTCACAAATGGATAGTATACAATACACAAATGGAAATATACTACATATATTGTTTGGCACCTTGCTTTTTTAACTTAATATATCTTGTAAATTGATTTTTAATATTTAAAAATATATATTTAATGATATTTTACAGAGAAGAAGGGAGAGAGATAGTTAGAAACATCAATGAGAGGGAAACATCAATCAGCTATCTCCTTCACACTTTCTACTGGGGATGTGCCCAAGGAACATGCCCTTGACCGGAATCAAACCTGGGACCTTTCAGTCCTCTATCCACTGAGCCAAACTGGACTCGGCTTTAGTGTTTTTTTGTTTTGTTTTGTTTTTTTGTTTTAATGGCTGTATAGATTTCATTATTACTTATGTAACTATTCTCCTATGATTGTTTTCAGTCTTTTATTATAGGAAATGTTGCACTGATTAACCTTGTACAAAATGTCATTTTTATTTGTGACTATAAAATTTTTATACAAGATATTTTAAAACTTTAAAGTGATAAGGACATAAAATACTAATATATAAAATCTCAGGGTCTGTACATACAAAATGACCGAAGGCTTGACTGACTGCTGCCACTGCGGGCGCCCTGACCCAGCACTGACTGCCAAGGGGGCTACGATCAGGCCCGAAGAGAGGCCTGGAGAGAGAAGCAGGGTCTGATCTGTAGCCTCCATGGCACCTGTTGATCAGCACTTGCCTCTCTCTTTTGCTCTAGTCCTTCAGTCCTGGCCAGCAGCTATGCCTTTCTTTTGGGTCTCAGCTGGGGCTGCTGATCAACCCTGCCTCTCTGATCAGGCCCATTGATAGGCCCAGAGACACCGACTGGCATAGAAACTGACCAGTCAGAACCAAATCTGGGTGAAGTGCGAGGAGCCAATAGCTGCCTAGGAGGCGGAGTGTTTGACACTGATTGGCCTAGAAACCAACCAATCAGAATCTAATCTGGGTGAACTGCAAAGGCACAACCTAAGGTGGGGCCTGAGGAGGAGTTTTAAGGCCAACAGCTGTTCAGTGTAAGATGTAAGAAAATGGTTCAATTTTTTAATGATCGATTTGGCAGTATAGTGCATCCAGATATAGGGATTATGTATTTTTGTCTGCCAAGAGCATCTCCCCCTGATAAAATAGGGCCCCCCCCCCCCCCCCAATTTAAGCAATTGTGTTCTATATAATCTATACTCTAAGAGGGTAATATGCTAATTAGACCAGGTCAACTGGCCATCTTCCTGATGTCTGACTTCCTTCTGGACAAAGCCGTGGTGGGGGCCAAGGCAGAGGATGTTAGGGGCGATCAGGCCAGCAGGGGAGGGCAGTTGGGGGCAAGATGAGGCCAGCAGGAGAGGGCAGTTGGGGCGAGATCAGGCTGACAGGGGAAGGCAGTTAGAGGTGATCAGGCAGGCAGAGAGGTTAGGGGTTATCAGGCAGGCAGGCAGGTGAGCGGTTAGGAGCCAGTGGTCCCAGATTGTGAGAGGGATGTTTGGGCCTAAACCAGTGGGGTCCTCAGTTGGAGAAGGTGCAGGCTGGGCTGAGGGGATGTCAAGGGAGAGAGAATCTGGGGACAATGCATCTCATTTTAACTCTACTTGGTTCAGGAGCCTAAGAGGTAGAACAGGCAGTGGTAGCATTATGGCACATTTACTCCTTCCCCGCCCTCTTACAGGTCAAATGCCGAAAGAAAAACACCCAGTTATTTGAGGGTTCTTGTCCTTGGGTCCTTGTTAATGAAGACTTTAGTTTCAATATTCAAATTACTAGAATCATTACAATTTTTGAGATTGGTAGGTTGTAAGAGAAACATTAAATTAAAAATTTAGACATTTTTCTTCTAACGTGCAAACATAAATATATATTTTTTCATAAATATATTATTATGATATGCTTCTTTGCAGTTTTCTTTCTTATCTTTATAAGCTTAGTTGTACTAGGTTGACTTTCAGCTTTTAAACTTTTTTTTGGTCCTTTAATACTTCATTCACTAGTATTTCTGGTGATCTAGTAATAATTCTAAGAATATTAAGTGTAAAAATTCCCTGTTCTTTGATATCACATATCAAACTGCTCTGAAACCAAACATAATTAGAGGAGGAAAACAGGAAGAAGTCCATGAAATAAAAGGCATGTACCTTTGTTTCTGCATCAAATTCTTCCATGGATTCTATCAATTTTCCAGGTTCCAGTTCACCTAGTGGAAAGGGGTAATCAGTTCCCAACATGACTTTATCCTGAAAAAAGAAAAAAATATTTTTATTTGTAATTTTTTAGAACATCAAAGAACTGCCTGTCAATTTAATTATACCCAATATATAATTATTACAAGCGCTCCTATGGCAAAGTATCAAAATTTCCCCTGATTAATAGAAACAAACTGATCTAAAATTTTAAAAAGTCAAATGATTAAAAACTTACTCTGGCCCAGCTGGTGTGTTTCAGTGGTTGTGTGAACCAGGAGGTCAGAGTTCGATTCAGTCAGGGCACATGCCCGGGTTTTGAGCTCCATCCCCAATAGACTGTGTGCAGGAGGCAGCTTATCAGTGATTCTCTCTCATCACTGATGTTTGTATCTCTTTCTCCCTCTCCCTTCCTCTCTGAAATCAAGAAAACATTTATAAAAAAATAAACAGATCCTCCAACTTATTCTGACATTTTCTCCAGCAGGTGTCACTATTAGGTCTCCTATAGTTGCAAATCAACTCACATCTCCCACTTCACGTCCTCTTTTTCCTCCAATAATTGAAAGAATACTCAAATATAAGAATCAGGCATTTATTTAATAAAAAATGCTGATGTATTCCAATGAAATGGAGGATTCTGTATTTCTTACAATGATACATTGCAATTGATCCCACAATTTTTGAAAACATACTACAGTTGAAAAATAAAAACTTTACAAATAATTGGATGGAAAGAAAACAATCCCTCAAATAATTCCTATCTCTACAAACTGTATCATTGTCTGTTTTTTTGAATGATGCACTTCAAATTTTCATTTGACATTTTGTATGTTAAAGCACAGAGGCTTGACTATCTATAAATATATAAAGCCCTAATGTGTTAGGCAATGTTTTGGAATCTAGATTACCCTGGTCAACAAAAGAGAAATGGTCCATGTCCTCAGAGAACCCACATTCTAGTAAGGACATTAAGTCAATAATGACAGTTTATCAAAATAAAATATTGAAATTTAACTTCTAGAAACATATCCCACTCATGTATGTCTTGGAAATGTACACAAGAAAATTAATTGCAACAGTATTTGTAACAGAATACTAGCAAACCAAATTATAGCATATCCAGAACCAAATGCTGAAATGGAATAACCGCCAAGTTATATTGTAAAAAGAAATGTACTTGAAATTATATTGTAAAGAGAGAAAAAATGTCTAGAACAATGTATCTGCTTTATACTCTTATTTCTGTTTTTAACAAGCACATGTACATACACAAATATATGTATGTCTAGAGTCTATTTCAGGAATGGTACTCAAGAAATAAATAACATTAGCTGATTCCAGGAAAAAAAAAATGAATTTGGGGTCAGGAGACCGCTCTTCTTTTTTAAGATGTAATTTACATACCATAAAATTAATATTTTAAAGGTGTACAATTCAGTAGGCATTAGTATATTCAAGAATTTTTATAATCATTCCTACTACCTGATTCTAGAACATTTTTATTTTAGATTTTTTGTTTATTGTCTAAAGTTTTACATTTGTCTTCTTTTTCCCCAATTGACACCCCTCCACCCCAGACATTCCCACCCCAGGCAAGCCCCCACCGCCTCAGTGACCGTGTCCATTGGATATGCTAATATGCATGCATACAAGTCTTTTGGTTGCTCTCTAAATCTCTCTCTCTCTCTCCCCTGCTCCCCCCACCCTTACTGTTTATCTCTAGATCTATTCTTGTTCATCAATTATCTTGATCAGAACGTTTTTATTAACCCCAAAGTAAACCCCATTCCTATTAGCAGGCACTCCTTATTATCTCCTTCCTCCAGCCTCAAGGAAACACTAATGCCATCTGTGTCTATGAAATTGCCTATTCTGGAAATTTCATAAACATGAAATGGAATATGTTGCTTTCTTTCATTTAGTATAATGATTTCAAGGTTCATTCATAATATAGCCCAAATCAGTTCTTTTTAGGCTGAATCACATCCATCATATAGATATCCCAAATTTTGTAGACCCACTTATCGGATAAGGAACTTTTGGGTTGTTTCTATCTACTTTTTGGCTATTATGATAATGCTGCTCTCAACATTTGTATACAAGTTTAAAGAGTGAATATATGCTCATTTCTCCTAGGCATATATCTAGCAGTGGGTTTGCTGTGTCACATGGTAAATCCATGTTTGATATTTTGAGGAATTACTCCACACAGTGGCAGAAGCATTCTACATTTCCACCAGCAAAGTATCAGAGTTCTAATTTCTCCAAATACTTACTGACACTTGCTGTTTTGTCTATCTTTTTTATTAGAGCCACTACAGTGGACATAAAGTGATACCTCAATGTAGTTTTGATTTGCATTTTTATAGTGAAGCTGAGCATCTTCTATTCATATGCTCATTTTACATTAATATGTCTTTGGAAAAATATCAAATTCAGATCTTTTGTGTTTTTGTTGTTGATGTTATTTAGTTGTAATAATTTATATTTTTTTGAATATAAACTCATACTTATCACGTATATGATTTACAAATAATTTTTTCGTGGGTTGTCCTTTCATTTTCAGTTGTGCCTTATGAGGCACAAAAATTTGAATTTTGATGAAGTCTAATTTACCTATTTTTTTTCTTTGCTTACGGTTTTGGTATGATATTTAATAAATTATTGCTTAATTCAAGCTCACAAAGATTTACCACTATGTTTTCAAAGAATTTGTAGTTTTAGTTCTTCCACTTAGATCTTTGATCAATATTGAGTTAATTTTTGTGTATGGTATAAAGAACGTGCCCAATTTTATTTTATTTTTTGCATGTGGATATCCAGTTGTCCCACTATACTATATTGAAAAGATTAATCTCTTCTCATTGACTTGTATTGATATCTTTGTTCAAAATCAGCTGATCTTTTTAAAAAATATATATATTTGTATTGATTTAAGAGAGGAAGGAAAAGGGAGTGATAGAAACATCAATGATGAGAGAGCATCATTGATCAACTGCCACCTGGCCACCCTACACTGGGGATTGAGCCCACAACCTGGGCATGTGACCTAACAGGAAATCGAACCGTGACCTTCTGTTTCACAGTTGACGCTTAGTCACTGAGCCATGTTGGCCAGGCTAGATCAGTTGATCTTTATGTCTGTCAGGCCAGTACCAGACAATTTTGATTACTGTATCTGTATAGAAAATTTTAAAATTGGGAGTTTGAATCCTTTTTGTTCTTTTTTTTAAAGATTGTTTTGGCTATTCTGGTCCCTTGCATTTCTATATGGATTTTAGGATCAGCTTGTCAATACCTACAAAGAAAAAAAAAAAAAAGCATGTCTTTTTTTTTTTTTTTTTATAAGGATTACATTGAATCTGTAGATCAATGTCAGAATGTTGCATTTAACAATATTGTTTTCCAATCAATGGGATGATTTTTTATTTATTTAGGTCTTCTTTAATTTTCTTCAATAATGGTTCATAGTTTATTGTCCAACTCATATTTTAATTGAATTTATTTCTCAGTATTTTATTCTTTTTTAATGCTATTGTAAATTAAATGTTTTTCTTAATTTCATTTATGGATTATTCATTGCTAGTAAATATAAATACAGTTTATTTCATATATTTATTTTGTATTCTACAATCTTGCAGAATCCATTTATTAGCCTTGATAGTTTATTTGTGGATTCCTTAGAATTTTCTATGTGTCATCTCCAAATAATTTTATTTCTTCCTTTCCAATCTGTATGCCTTTCATATAATTTCCTTTCTAATTGCCATAGCTAAAGTCTTCAGTACAATGTTGAATCTAAGTGGTGAGGGAAGAACCTTTCAATCTTTTGCCAGTAGGTATGATACCATTATTTTGAGTACTTTCTTATTCTCAGGCACTGGAAGTCCTTCTAGCTCATTTTGTACTTTATCTGTATTTAAATCAGCCTTTTCTGCCAGCAGCCTAGCTTCCTTACCGTGGAAAACGGTATTTAGTAACCAAGCTCTGTTAATTATTATGATAATTATTGTTGATATGGAACTCTGTGTGTGTACACAGACACACCCATATTTCTATTTCTACTTATCTATACTAGTAACTACCTTTTCCAACAGGGAGACACTTTTACTCAATTAATTTACTCTTTTTGCTTAAGTTTAGAATGCACAGAAAGTATTTGCAGGATTGCTAAAACATATGCTGCAAAAAGCAAACTTACTAGCTAGAATTCAATATTTTAAAGATACTAATTACAGAGCAAACTGCAAAATTTATTTATTTATTTATTATTTTTTTTAATTTTAATTTTATTTTATTTTCCCCCCTCCCTCCCTCCCACCTATCCCCTCCCTCCCCAGAGCTTTATGTCCATTGGTTGTACTTATATGCATGTGTACAAGTCCTTCAGTTGATCTATTATCTCCCCCAGATCCTCCTCCCCTCCCCCACTGAAATTTGACAATCTGCTTATTGCTTTACTGTCTCTGTATCTATCTTTTGGTTCATCAGTTTATAATGATCTTTATTATCCACAAATGAGTGAGGTCATGTGGTGTTTCTCTTTCATTGATTGGCTTATTTCACTCAGCATGATGTTCTCCAATTCTATCCAGGTTGCTGCACAAACTGCAAAATTTTTAAGTACTTAGTTGAATAAGTTTTGATGAATGTATACACCTGAATTACTCAAACCTCTATCAAGACACGGAACATTTCCATCACCCCAGAAAGTTCTCTCATGTCCCTTCACTTAAAATTGTTTCCAGTGTTTGGCTATTTTGAGTAAAGCTGCTATGAACTTTCTTGTAAAATCCTTTTGTGGACATATGTGTTTGTTTCTCTTGAGTAAATACCTAGGAGTACAACTTCGGGGTAGTAGGGTAGGAGTGTGTTCTACCAGTAGTGTATGAAAGTTCTAGTTGCTCTACCATATTCCCAACAGAGTTTTCTTTTTGTTTTTAGCCACTCTAGTGATGGGTGGTGGTTCCTCATTGTGATTTAAATTGCTTTTCTCTGATGAACTAATGATGTGGGGCATATTTGCTTATTTATTTATTTATTTATTTTAC